CCATCCCTATATGGGATCTGAATCCGTGGCCTTGGTGTTATCAGCACCGCACTCTCCCGAGTGAGCCACGGGCCGGCCCAAAAGAATGGTTTTTATAGGAAAATTTTATGTAACATTCAACAAACTTTGTTGAATGTTTTATGATAAACCTGCTTTGTTAGAGGAAAAACATCTTCGTTTTGGTTATCTGTGGCTGTAGGTAATGCAGGTGGCTGTTTCCCAACCCCCGTGTAACTGGTAGCTTCATTGTTTTTCTTGTGGCATCTGATCATTAAGTTCGTCAATAAAATACCTCTCCTGAAGGCCTTTTTAGCTGCATCTTGCTTTTCCTTTTGTAATTGACTTGAGACCTCTCCAGTTTGTGTGGACACAGGCCTTTCCCGTAGTTGTCCGGCCTTGGTCGTTTCGTCTTCTGACCAGAGGGTGGGCAGAGAAAGGGAGAGAAGGACTAAGTAAAACTCATAAGTCGCCAGACTGTCACTAATGGAAAAATAGGCGAAATAACTGTTCATGTTAAGGCTTTTGTTTATATGCCCAATATTATGATGCCAAGGGTGGGTTTTGTGGAAAGGTGGTTCCTAGTGTTTAGGCCGAAAATGAAAGACTTGACTTCTTTTTTTTATTTATTTTTTTATTTTTTATTTTTTTAAAAAGATGACCGGTAAGGGGATCTTAACCCTTGACTTGGTGTTGTCAGCACCACGCTCAGCCAGTGAGCGAACCGGCCATCCCTATATTGGATCCGAACCCGGGGCCTTGGTGTTATCAGCACCGCACTCTCCCGAGTGAGCCACGGGCCGGCCCCAAGACTTAACTTCTGTAAAGCAATTTGTAGCAGAAGTTAACCTAGAGGTTCTGAGTTTGGATATTATATCTCAGTCTTTTTTTCTTTTTCTCTTCTTTTCTTCTCCCCCCAATTTGGTCTGTTCTATCAATTCGGAAGGGATTATGTTTTTTATGTGTGATGGTCATCTTTTTGTTTTAAGGTTATTACGACCTATTGTCCTGCTAACAATGAGCCAATAGCAAGAGTCCGACAGGTAAGTGTTATTTTTAAAATTCAAACTGCTCACAGGCAATTTGTGCAAGCTTTCTTTAGAGGTAGAGCAAGAAACAAAATCACAAATGCAAATGATAATGCATTTCTTTTTCATTTGACATTTAAGAATGTCTGGGAGAAGCTGTCCTCTCTTTGGGTGGGTGTGTGTGCCCTAGAAAAGGTGGACCGCAAAGTGGACTAGGGAGGGGGGACCATTTAAGGCAATGCTTCTGAATTACCTAAGGATTTTGTTAGAATGATTTTGTTAGAATCCTTAAGTCTGGATTAGAGCCCAAACTTCTGCATTTCTAAAGTATCTCAGGTGGTGTTCCCAGAAGGGACTTTGAAAAGCAAGGTTTTAAAGAACAGCTGCATTCCAAACTGTCTTTCTGTGTTCTGGCCAGTTTTTGGAAGTGTAGACTGTGGAAATCATTCTCAACCATAAATCTTAGGGGTACTCAGATTTTTCAGTTCTTTTCTAAAAAATATGCATGTGTTCTAGAAGATCATCATCACTTCCCTTTCCTTCTCTCTCTCTAATTCTTAATTTAGGCAAGTGTGGCAGACTATGAAGAAACTATAAAGAAAGCAAGAGAAGCATGGAAAGTCTGGGCAGAGGTAAATATGACCTGTTTTGTCTAAAGCTCAGATGAGGCCACTGTCTAATTACCTATTGTATTGTAATACGATAAATAAACGTCTGATAAGCAGGTCAGTACTTTCTTGTTGAAATGTGAGCTCCTTGGGGGCTGTGACACATCTCTGCTGTATTCCTGGGATAGTGACTTTTCTGTATTTTCCAGTGAATGGGCAATTTTTTTCCCTCGTTTTTAAAGTAGGACATTTTAAGGACTTTAATGAATGGGTCATTTTACTTTTTACTTATTAGTTAATTAATTTATTTTTTTTGAATCATAATTGATTATACATATTTTGGGGTTCAACATTGACATATGTTGATCAAATCAATATTATTAGCATATGTATTGTTACAAATCATACTATTCTTTATGCCCCTTGTCCAGTCTCTCCCCAACCCCTTCTACCTCCCTTCTCTAATTACCTGAGATTTCTTCTCTCCTTCTGAAAGAGTAATGGTTACTCTGTTGATTTGTTGCCTAGATGGTCTGTCCAATGCTGAGAGGTATGTTCAGGTCCCCCAATAGTTTTGTAGAGCAGATGCTTCTTCTGTCACTCCGGAATGGGCTTTGTGGAGAGACGCATTCTCTTCTTTTCTTTGGTCCCTGCTGGTGACTCTCCTTGTGTCAATGCACTCCAGTGGCTGGCAGACCATCTGCATGGTGGTTGTGGCATCTAGCCACTTTCGTGGCAGCTATGGTGGGCCACCCACACAGAGGTGATGTTTTTGGCATGCTCCTTACCTAGTTGGTGGTGGCAATGGCAGTGTGCCTGGTTGTGGGAGTGGGTCCTGTGGGATTCCAGGTGGGCCCCTTGATGCTGGCAGTGTGCCTGGTTGATGTTTTTGGCATGCTCCTTACCTAGTTGGTGGTGGCAATGGCAGTGTGCCTGGTTGTGGGAGGTGGGTCTGGTCCCTGACTCCATGCGTCAGGATCCTGGGTGGGCCCTGTGGTGCTGGTGGTGTGCCTGGTTGTGGGCAGAGGGTCCGGTCCCCAGAATAGGTCATTTTAAATGGATTAAAACTCTGTGCTGATGTAATATAAACTCAAGCTATGAACACTCTATTCTCTGCTGAGGTTACTTGACTTTTTAAATGAGCAACTAGAAAGAAAATGGAAAATCTAAGCTAAAAATACCTGTTTGCTGCTTCTCCTCCCTCCCCTTACCAGATTTATCTGAGGGGGAATATATCAGCAATAGGTCAACATTCCTGGTCCAAAGAGCAGCGGCAGCATCTCTTTCTCAGGGCAAGGGTTCCTGTTCCTTCACTCGATCAGGCTGTGGGTCTCTGAATTTCTACCAGGAGTTAGATGAGCAAGTGCGAGTGCTGTGACTAGTGCTACACTGGCCACACTGACCTGACACTAGGTGGGGGCCAGGCTCCTGAGGAGGGAAGAGTAAGGCAGATCCCGGATAGCCTGGATTTCCCAATCTCCCCTCTCCCCATCCTCAGTGCGCTTCGTCTTTGGAGTGTCTGCCTTCTGGGGTTAATCATTTAAAGTGCTTATGGTGTGCTGCTGGGTTTGGGACTGCTAAGCTGCAGTGTTTTCTCTGAATCAGTGATTGCAAGGGGAGTTGGGGATGGGGTGGGTAGGAGAGGAGTAGATAATCCAAGAAACCCCTGGGTTGGCTGCAGCTTTCTCGTCAGCCAAGAGACGGGCTTTTTTGACATCTTTACTTTCATTCTGGATATAAGTTAGGCTCAGGATTCTATTATACACAATCAAAAATATCCTTGAGCAGAAAAATAATACTTCCACAAATAAACAGTGTGCTAAGTAAAGATTACCCAACCTGAATAGAGAATAGTGTCCAAAACAGTGTCATTTATTTTCTTGTTTTAAAAATTACTTTTATTTTGTCACTTGATCTTAGCTTAAAGGCCCAAAAGTGATACTTTTATTTCTTTCCTATCATAAAAGTATATTTCTTGTTTGAAAAGATGATGCAAAAATAAGATAATCCAATTTAGTCCCTTTGCCCCACCCTCCTCTATGCAAAATGGTTATTAGAGTTATGTTTTGGTGCATTTCCTTCTGGTCTTTTATGTGTTTATTTCATAGTTGTGATTATTATTAATACATACAGGGTGGGTGTAAAATTTTGTGACCTGTGATTGCATTGTATACCAGCCAGAAGTCATTGTATAATTTTTAAATTATTGTTTTTCTATACATCCAGTTTTTTAAATTAATAGACTTCATTTTTTAGAGTTCTTTTAGGTTTACAGAAAAGTGAGCAGAAGTACAGAGTTCCCATGTACTCCGTCATCCATCTTCCCGTGTCCCCTATTATTGACGTCTTGTGTTAGTGTGGCACATTTGTTACAATTGATAAGCCAATGTTGATATGTTATTGTTCACTAAAGTACATAATTTACATTAGGATTCATTCTTTGCACAGACTGTTTTGAATGTTCCTGCAATTTACCATGCTGTCTTTTGATCAGAAACATCAAGTTATGTGTGTTCTTACCCAGGGTGAATACAAACATGTTTGAAAAAAAGAGTTTGTGTGAGTTCAGGGTCTTGGCTTTTCCTGAACTGACTTCTCATCTGTCTTTGCTTTGCCCTAGGAGTGGCAGCTGATATTATATCTTCCTTTACTATTGTGCTGCACTTTTTTTGTGGTTGCTGTTTTCACATTCAGAATCTCATTTGGGGGTCCACTCTCTTACCCAACAATGCCAGCCTCTGCACCTAACATCTCTTCTCATACTTCTTGTGCTTTTTAGACATCTCCCCACCCCCTTAACAGAGTGGGGGTGCTAGGTGGGACAGGTTGCTTTCCTGGGTGATTGGGGATCCCATTTGTTAGCATTTGAGTTAAACAGTTGAGTTTGAAGTTTAGGGAAGAGGCAGAGCTTTTCCTAACTGTGCTTCTGGGGCCCCTGCCAATAGGGCAGTGACTTAAGAGAAGGCAGCTTGTGCCTGAAACAAGAGTAGCCCAAAGCTTGATCCCCTCCTGGCTCCTTCCCTGTGTGGGGCTACCTCTGCTTGGCTCACATCCTTTTGGCTGTCCCTGCCTGTGCTGGGGCAAACCACTATTTCATTTAATTCATTTGAGTTAAACCTAGAATTTTTCAGAGAGAACATTTTTCTTTAAGGGAAATGAAAACAAGGTATAAGTATGTGGAAAGTTAGTTTATAAAAACCGATTTCTTCCTCTTAAGTAAAGCTAACCACAGAGAATCTGGACAAGAATACTAAGATGTGCTGCTTTCCTTCATGAGCCAGTTGCAGTCTAATGCCCTGTTTCTGCCCTCAGCATCCCCTGTGTGTCCTCATTATTCCTCCCTGTCTCTCGTGAGAAAGAGCCAGAGTCTCTTCCATCCCTTGAGGGCAGAAAACTGTTACTGGGCCACCTCTAACTGCAAAAAGAAATACCAGATAACTGGTAGCTTTTTAACATGGGTGTCTTTGTGTTATTTTCTTCTCTCAATGCTTTCAGTTCCCTTCACAAGGCTGTCTTTGACGTCCATTCTAAATGTGACTTCATAGGCAAGGTGTGCAGGGATGAGGATGCTTGCTGCCTGTCTGGGGTGGGAGATCTGGGGTTGTTAATGCCCTGTCATGCTAGGTCTGTCGTGCTCACACTAGAAATATGGCTATCTTCCTTGTTTCCTGTGCCTCCTTTATTTCCCTCTATCTAACACTTACCTTGGTTTTCTCAATCCTGGCTGCTCCT